ATGAAGATCATAAATCAAAACCAAAATTCATTTCATTGTCAAAACCGACCAAAATCCTCTTTTTTTTTTAGACCAAAAATCACCATATCATCATTTGTTATCCAGAAATTTTGAGTTTCTACAATCATTTAGCTTACTTTGAAGTTTTAATTCTCTTAGCAAGGAAAGAATTTGGTCGAACTATTAGACCATTGAAAAGATGTCATTTCATACTAAAAAAAAAAGAACACAAAGATCGTCTAAAAACATTATCAAAAAGTCGAGTTTCAATGACCCAAAATTGAGCCACCAAAACTGTCAAAAACTCATTTTCAGCAATTTTAAAAAATTCATAACTCTTAAAATACACAACTAAATTAAGTGTTTCAAAGAACATTGGAAAGGTCTTGAAGAGAGATTTTCATAAATAACAAATATGCCACTGCAAAACCACTAGAAGATTATCAGAGAATTTAAAAATATTAAAAACCCTAAACTAATACCTGGAATTTTTTTGTCACAAACATCAAAATTAAAAAGACTAGTAAACTAATCTTACTTCAAATCCTCAATTCCATGATTGAGTTCTCAAATTCTAGCCATTTTTTTTTCTCTTCTAGATTTTCTTTCTTTTTTTCTTCTCTAAATTCTCTTTTGTCTCTAAAGAAAATTAACCTAAAATGGAACTATCAATAGTTAAACTATTCTCTCATATTTTTATTTTATTGTATTACTTTAATAAAATTCATGGGCTGAATCAACTAATTAGGCTATAATAGACTTAGGTTTGAATATTAGAATTGATGTTCTCCGTAAAAAAGGTTGTCTCATAAATTTGAAAAATAAATGATCCTTTGTTAGAGAGCCTGACACTGTTGAGCATTTATTTCTCTTGAGAGCTACTATTTGTACCCCGCATTCTTCTCTTCACACTCCATTTTTTTAAAAGTAAAATTACTTAATTATTCTTTCTCTATCAAAATAGTTTTCGGAAATGAATTTTCAAAAAATTTTAAAGGTTTTCGAAAGTGGAATTTTGGAAGTTTTTAAAGGCTTTTGAAAATCTATTTTTGAAAGCCTTTAAGACTTTTCGAAAATTAATTTTCAAGAGTTCTGAAACCTATCAAAATATTTCAACACAAAATTTTATGAAATTAAACACAAAATCAAATGAAAAAATAAAAAGAACAAATGATTTAAGTTCTTAATGGTAAAAAAGCACTTAAAAATTTCACCCATTTGAAGTAAAACAAGTATAAAATCAAAAGTAAATCACTTGTTCTTTCAACTTTTTTGTTAGATTTCATGTTTAATTTTGTAAAATTTCATATTGAAATATTTTGGAGCAATTCATAACTTCCAGAAATGGATTTCTGAACAATCCTAAAGGTTTCCGAAAATCCATTTCTACAAACTTTTAAAACATTTCAGAAATCCATTTTGACAAACTTATTTGAAAGAAAAAGGGTAATTAAATAATTTTACTTACAAAAAATTTTGAAAAATAAACTGGAATGTGAAGAGAAAAGGGTGAGATGCATTTAGTAGCACTCTTTCTCTTTTGCAAAATCTCATGGAACGTTTGGTCTAATTGCTGCAACAATTGATGCATCACATGGGTTATACCAGGTATTTTAAAGAGTCTATTTAAGTCATGGAGCTACCTCATTGTCAAGAAGAACCAGAAGCTTATTTGGGACTCCTTGTTCGATGATGTTGTTTGGTCAATCTCGTTAGCTGGCGATGGAAAATTCTTCATACAAAAGTTATTTCTAATGATCAAATCATCAACCTGATTTGTGCCAGACTTGAGTGGTGGATGAAAGCTAAATTTCCAAACTTAAACCTCTCGCCTTTGAACTTTTTGTCAAGCATTCAAGACCTTACCATTTCTTCCCACAGGAAACCAACTAGAAAGAATATCGTATGGCTTCCTTCCCGTAAAGGTGTTAAGAAAATAAATATTGATAGCTCGGCAATTGATAAACTAGGTCCTGCTAGTGTTGAAGGTGTCGTTCGTGACTACAAAGGGAGAGTATTACTTATATTTTCAAATAATATTGGCTGAGCTTTTAGCTGTTATTGAAGCCCTGACATTGTGGTTAATATAAATATTGGCCATTTTCCTGATATTATTATTGAAAGTGAATCTAAATTCAATTACATTTTGGCTTAACAAAATCAGTGACAACCCTTGAAAATATAATGACTTACTAAATAGGTTGTATAATCTACATGCAAGGGTTAGAAATTTTTCATTTTTTTCACGTATTCCGAGAAGCTAACCATTTTGTTAACTCCTTTGTTAAGATAGGAATTCATAAAAACTTTGATTTTGTAGCTTGGGTTAGCTTTGCCTTTTCTATTATTAATGAAATGCTTTTAATTTAAAAAAAAAAACAAAAACAAAAACAAAAATAAAAACAAGATACTGAATCTTCTTTAACTACTCCATTAGACAAATACTTCACCAAATAAAAAATAAAAAGCATATCAAAATAAATAAAAACCCTAAAACCACTCACCCAAAAGAAAAGAGAGAGAACCCCTCCTTAGTTTATACTAACTAAGGTGTTTACGTAGTTTATTTATTAGGTTTTATACCGTCAAATTTTCCGATGGAGATGCATGCATATTTCCACAAAAAAGTAAAATGAGATTGAAGTCCTTTTAGCACTAAATTTAGAGCTTTAATGTGGAGTTCAAACCCAAACCAGATAGACTTCTTTCATATATGGTAATCACTTAATATTTATTCAACAAGTCATATTTGATATATAAAATGATGGATAACAAAGGATTATAATTAATTTATACCATATTTGATTTTTATGTAAAGAATAAATAGAATTGTAAAAAAAATTATTGGAAAGAAGATCAATTATCCTCTTGATATAAAATGATTCAACTCTATCAAAATGAAGATGAATATTTTTAATTTATGATATTAAATTTACATATATAATTTTATTTTTAAAAAAATATATACCAATAATTAAAATTATATAAAATTTTAAAAAATAATTTTATTTACTAAATAAATGATCAAATTATAATTTTTACATATACTAAATATAAAATAATATTATTTAATCTAATTTTATTTATAATAATATTTTATCATATCATATTATAATTTTATACATTAAAATCATCCTTAAAAATCACGATCATTAATATATTGAATTCCAAGGAATTCTTGCTTTTTGTGCAATGACAACTGTGAAGAGAAAAGGGCTCTTTTTTTGCTTTTTTTTTTTCCACGTGAGAAAGCGTGCATGGTCCTCGCCAAGTTGTTGGTCACGGACAAAAAGACTCTGCATCAGTATAGGTGCCATTGACTTCAAAAATGTGCGCCATGTGTTTCGGGTGGAGGTGGCTAGTACGGTAGCTATTTTATAGTAGATACATTTTGCTGCCGTAATTTAATTAAAATTAAATGTGATCAAAATTTACGTTTTTAATTGATGTTGTATCGATGAATAGCGACAATAATAATACTATTTTAATTATCGGTCCAGATGTTAATATAAAAGTAGACTTCTTTTTATCGTTAAGCATTAAAATTTTCATATCAATCAAATTAAGAAGTCTTAAAACAGAAAAAAAGCCTATAGTTACAATAATTCATTGATAAATCAATCTCAATCAGGATAAAAAATTTATTGAAAATAACTAATAACAAAAAACTAAAAATAACCTTTGCTTTTTTATTTAAATTTCTGCAAATTGATATTGTATGGGACTTGGAGGAACTGATACCATGAAAAAATTTGTTTCAAACTCCAAAATTTCAAGAACTCATTCACAAGCACTCCATAGACGTGGGTTTAGTAGCTGCTCAAGTAGCGAAAAGGAGGAAAAGAAAGAAGTCATGACTTCGGTGGAAGTTTGGAGGAGGTTGGAATCTTGCCGTGGCTAACGGTGATGGCTCGTTGGCTAGAATTTTAGAAGGGGAAATTATCGTTGATTAAAATTTAAAATTTTTGAGAATTTATTTTGATTTAGATTGGTAAATTTGGGATGGAAGAGTTTGATGAAAATTTGAAAGGGATATTATTCTGTGATTTAGACAAAAAATAAAATATTAAATGATTCATATTAGTTTATATTAATTTTATTGTTTATTAGACTTTGATTGTATATTTTTTTTATATATCAATGTAGTGAATAAAATTTTAAATTAATCTATTAGTTTATAATATTATTAAATAAAAATTCTTTACATTTAATATGATTTCATGTTTTACTTTGTTAATTATTATTATTACTATTACTATTAGATTGATTTAAATTCTAGTTTCATGTATTTTGTTAATTTATATATTTATTCAATTTATACTCATATAAGAATAGATAATTTTTTAAATATAAATATTTTACAATAGGTCATAAACTTGTCAATATTTTCTCATATAAATAAAAAAATAAAGTCTTATTAATTATTTAAAAAAATAAAAATGAATCATAATTATAATTATTATATTTTATATCAAATTATGTAAGATTTAAAAAAAAATATTCATGATGATAACCGTAACGATATTTATTATCTCCACATCAACGAAAAATATAACGCAATAAAAAACGTGTCCATTACCACGTTTTAAATCCCTGGCCACGACTGAAACAGTGTGATCATCTAAAAAACAGTCTGACTATGATATCTCTATTTTACTCTACTACACCAGGGAATAAACGATATGAAAATTGCAAGAATGATAGAGACATCTTGTGGTAATTTGACCTTTGTTTCCACTTGTTGGGCCCTTTTACATGCCCCAGCTGATTGTTGCAACAGTTTACAAAATCAAAACCAGCATTGATGTGCGACCACGTACGTTTTCCTTTCTTTTTCTTTATTATATTTCCCATGGAAGGATTGTTGGTTTATTCAAATAAACAAGCTGAATAATACTAGTTTTTCATTTCCCTTAAAGATACATAAACCCAAAGAAAACACTTGACGAAATGTCTTACACTTATTCAGTATCAATCCACAAGGAAACAACACTAAAACAATTAAATACTGATCACTGCATATTGGAAATTAGAACTTCAAACCACGCAACACCATGAAGAGAAAGAATTTATAAAAGTGATTAGGCACATTGGAAGCCAGAGGGAACATTCTTTGAGCAGACGTTGAGAAGCAAGCTGAGGGAAACTGGGATATTAAGGTTAATGCCCAAAATGTTAGCTTTGATGGCTGTGCAAAGGCAAACAGCAGCCTCAAGATCAGCAAGGCCTTGGATGAGGGAGCAGCAGGGCTGCACGGGGGGTGAACCAATGGTGACATTGACCAAACCAAGCACATCAGCACATACACCTAATTTAAGGGCATCTCTGGGGCATTTGCCTCCTCCAGAAGGAGATGGAGAGGGAGTGGGATTTGGTTTTGGCTTGGGGGAAGGGCAGGAAGCACGAGCACTGACAAGGGAAAAGAAGAGAATGTTGAGTGCAAAAAAGAGGGCCAGTGATGCTGATTTTTTTGAAGCCATCTCTCTCTCTCTCTCTCTCTCTCTCTCAAACCCTAGTAGCTTCTTGCTTAATTAGAGTAAGTATAAGAAGTAATAGGAGAGATTATAGAGTACTACGCAGTAAGGATGGAGAATTTGGAGTGAAGGGAGGGGGTTTTATAGTGTTTCAAGAGGGCAAGTCGGTTAGCTTAAAAGAATTTAATTAATAAAATTGTACAATAAATCAAATTGATTTTGTGCGATTTGAGCTGGCAGAGGCATAAGATTTTTGGTGTAACTTTGGATGTTTGTGATGACTTGAAGGTGGGGAATGGCAAATTGCCATGTTACCATTGCTCCAGCATCAATCTGTGGATCTGTCCAGCACAAATTATAAGGTTTGCAACAGTGTTTTGATTCCAAGCATCAGGAAGATTAAGATGTTTGAATCTCAACCTCTCATCATGAAAGAAGATGAGACCCCGAAATCACTTTATCAGTGCTACATCATCCATCCTAATAACATGTCACACCATGTTCTTCTTGGGAATTCGGCTACCTTTTTTTTTTTTTTATTGTGCTATATTGCTATCTTTTCTGTACCCTGTCATGGTTTGCTAATCCAACAGTCATCTGCTAACATACCTTTCTTGTTTCGTACATTTGTTTACCATTCTAATGCAAAGTCTTCTATCGATGCTGACATGTTGTCAATGGAAGTTTTCTAGCTGGAATGGATTGGAGTGTCACGGGCGAGCCTATAGAACCTACTATGGTCTCCACCAGAGATATATTTAATTTGAAACTGATTATTTTCCCTTCCATTCACACATTGAGTGGAACCATAATTTTCTTTCTACTACAGAAACTACTGTTGGTGAATCAAGTCAACATTATTTCTTCTAACTTAAGGTATGATTCAAACAATGTAATTTATTTTCTAGCGACGAACGCGTGTTGAGTAATGAAGTCAAAGTCATTGAAAAATAAAATACAAAAACAAGAAAATGTTATAATTAATCCAAAACTCGTGAAGCCACCAACATCAACTAAAACTGAATTTAAAACTGATATTTAGACGGGTAAGAGCCAAGACCGATCAAATGCTGGTTGCCGAAGCTGCTATCACCTGTATGGTTGCCGGAAGTGCCGGTGCTGGTGGTGGAACAAGATCCTTGTCTGCCATGCGAGGAAGAAAAAGGAAGAGAGCTTTTTTTTTTTTTTTCTGGGGGTGGGGGGGGGGCTTATACCCTTCCCTCACCAAAATCATGATCGTAGAATTCTTAATGGGCCACCCTCCTAGACATAAGAACCAGTTTACAGACCCCTTAGTAAACAATGACACATTCCAATTTCCATTATGAGTCAATACACAAAATTAGCAACAGTATCAGAATTAATTTAAAAAAAAAAAACAACATACAATTGGATTTGAGTATACCACAATGTGGTACCATTACATTTGCTCATTAATTTGACATATCATTAATGTCATAAATAACCTTTAAAGTATAATAAAATATTTAATATGATATTAGAATTTTAAAAATCTTTAACGTAGCACCTATGTTATGAATCTGTTAATTAAAGTGACACTCACTTTTAATTGGCTAACTATAAATGATGATACGCGGCAAACAAACAACCTTCAAAGTACCAAATTAGTTAATAAGTTTATAGTTTAGATACTACATTAAAAATTATTGAAGTCCAGGTACCACATTCATGATATTAACCCTTAATATTAATCAAATATAATTCTAATCAAATTGACTCTTATTAGTTCATAAATATGAAATAAATGTAACAAACTCTCAAAACACAAATCATTTTTAACATTTTCAAATATAATATAATATTATATATATACTCATATATTTTTAAAAATCTAAACTATATAATTGTTAGCCTCGAATTGATCCTTATTTTAAAATAACAAAACATTAAACTAAATAAGTTTCATCAAGATTTTGAAAAAGATTTATTTAGTATTAAGTTTTATATTTTGGTACTAAATAAATAATATAATTTTCAAAGTTTAAACAAACCTTTTTTGGTTTCATATTTCTCAAACCAAATCTATCTTTAAAGATTATTTATTTGAGCCTAAATGAAAGTCCAATTGTTGTTTTTAAAGTGAATTTATTCATTTTGGACTTAATAGAATTTTAATAATATTGATTTTGAGAAATAGATTAACTTAAGAAAGTTTTTTTACAAGAACAAAGTTTTCCAACATTGAACTTATTTTATTTTTCTGTATTAATTCACAAAGCTTTAATATTTGAATTTAATATGGTTGAAAAGCTCTTTGAGTCTACTTTCTAATGGATTAAACAAAATCCAAATTTTGTAAGAAAAGATTTTGAATTTTTACTAGACACTTTGTAATTATCTAAAAACTACATAAGGAGTAGATTTAAAAATTCACTATAATTCATACATAATGAATTAAGTGATGAATTTTATATTGATAGAAAGCTCTTTAAGTATAGTTTCTAAATCTTCAAACAATTTGTGATTTGGATTTGTATAACTCAAGATATGATCAAATTAACGAGTAGAGTACAAAATAAGAGACAACCACCCAACCATGAACATGATCGATCCCTTCAGGTAAAGGATCGATTGATTTTTCTCATAGAATGCATGTTGGTACTCGTGGTTAAAGAATGGATCAATCACCCTATGGAGGGGATCAATCATCCCCTCGAACTAAACAATCCCCTCACTTAAGGGATCAATCGGGTAGTGTTTTTTCAAGGCGTGAAATGGCTTCCCAAAGTGAACCAATTGATCCCCTCATGCAAGGGATCAATAGGGTCATGATTTTCAAAGGCAAATTGGTTCCAAAACATGAATCAATCGATCCCGTCATAGAAGGGATCAATTGGGTATGCCTTAGAACAACTCCAACAGCTAGTTTCTCATGCTTTCAACTATTATTTTCTTCTCCCAAGCATCCCCAAAGACTAGCTCTTCAATTTCTCTATATATTGGCCATTCAAACACACCAAGAAGGTTGATGAATCAAGATAGCAAGATCAAACAAGCCATATATTCATTCTTTCAAAGAAATCAAGAGTTTTAGAGCTTTAAAGTCTATATTTTTGTATTTGTTATATCCAAATCATTGTTGTTGATTCATTCATCAAATTTCTTTGTACTTCATTAGGCAAACACTTAGTCTTTTAGAGGTATTTTATGTTTGCATTTTTATTAAGTGACTTTGTAATCAAGAGGTAGGGCATCTTCTTGAATTTGTGAGATTGAGAGGTTACTACTTAACCTAAAAAGTAGAGAGTGTAAGGTTTCTATCTTAAGCCTTAGAGAGAAAAAGATAGGGTTGTAATTTCAATTTAAGAATAATAGATTGAAGCTTGGTGTGGACAACCAAGAAAAAAGACGTAGGTGCCTTGTGAAGAAGGACCAAACTTTTATAAATCCTTGCATTTGATTTCTTTATCTCTATATCTTCATTTTGATTATAGTTTATATTTGTTTATAGTTCATTAATTCATTGTTATTTGATTCATATTTTGATATTGGTTTTAATTTCCATTCAACTATATTGAAATCATTTGTTGGAAAAGAATTTGAAGAGATCCAATTCAACTCCTCTTGAATCACCATCTCACATAAAAAGCTAACAATTGGTATTTGAGTTTTAGTCTCTTTTTTTAGGTTTAACCACCTTGAGTAAAGATCCCTATGGCTTAATTTAGGTTCCAAGATGGTGAGAAAATCCTTAAAGCTCCAATGTTTGATAAATATGAATTTTGTAAATTGAGAATGAGGATGAAAGGTGTTCATAATATCCCATGATTTTATAGCTTGGAATGTGATAAAGAAAGGGCTTGGAATTCCTTCAAATGATGCAAATTATATGAGACAAGTGATGGATGATGCAAAGGCCATGTGCATTCTCTATGGAGCTCTTGATTCTCATAACTTCAACTTGATCTTAAATTACTCCACTTCAAATAAAATATGGAAGAAGTTGGATAAGCTACATGAAAGATAAATTATCAACCAAAATGCATCATGTCTCATAGCTCTTGAAGAGCCTAAAGTAACCTCTAACTTAATTGATTCAAATTCATATACTTTTGATGAATTGCAAAATGCTTTTGATGAGTTAGTTATGAAATTTGAGTCAATGAAAATGAAATACAAGAAAATAATTTCAAAATTGAATATTGAAAATGATTTTTTGATAAATGCAAAAAATATTTTGAAAAAAAATGAAAAAATGAAATTAGATTTTAAAACCTCTTAAACTAGAAATGAATTTTTAGAAAAAAAATTTTTTGATTTGAAAAATGAAATTTAATGAATTGATGAATGAAAAACAAAATCTTTTCTAAACTTGTTAAAATGACAAAATGTAATTTTTGTAATTTTCATGGCCATTCTATACATACTTGTCCAATTAGAAGAAAAATCCCATTTAGAATTAGACAAGTATGGGTTCCTAAAGGAACAAGAAACTTGGTAACTAACTCTCAAGAACCCAAAGCAATTTGGGTGCCAAAAATCAAATGAGATTGTCTCTTGTAGGTGTGCTAGAGCAAGAAGCTACAATATAAAATTGAAGATTGAATACTCTAGACACATAATGGAGATGGGTAACCTCTAAACTTTTATTTTAAGTGAATATAAAATTGGTTGCCTATTCTTGTTGGACATAGAATGCCTAATGGATATTGGTATATGCTTTATTGATATATCTTGAATATACCAATTTTATTTGATAAATGTGAGCTTGAATTGAATATGCATTTATTTTACTCTTAAATATGTTTGAGATGCTTGTTGAAATTGTTTGTGGTGTTAAATTGCTTGAGCATAATTTTGTTGATGAATTTTTTATTAATACTTGGTGTGATTATTTATGTGCTTAATTATTTTTATATTTATGCATAAACTTAGAGGGAGAACTCAAAGCTTAATGATTTTGAGACTTTATGTTACGCTTTAAAAATGATTTTTGCTAGAGTCAAGCCTTAAAATATAAAATTTTGTTTTAGAAAGTTTTTAAT